CGGCGAAAATCGCGCGATTTTTGGCCGCTAGCGTCGAAATTCGCACGATTTTTGGCCGCTAGTGTCGAAATTTGCACGATTTTTGGCCGCTAGCGGCGAAAATCGACCCATTTTTGGCCGCTAGTGGCGAAAATCGGTCGATTTTTGGCAGGTAGCGGCGAAATTCGGTCGATTTTTGGCAGGTAGCGGCGAAATTCGCATGGTTTTTGGCTGCTAGAGGTGAAAATCGCGCGGTTTTTGGCCTGTAGCGGCGAAAATCGCGCTATTTTTGCCCGCCAGCTGCAAAAATCGCATAGTTTCTGACCGCTAGCGGCGAAAATCACGCGGTTTTTGGCCGCTAGCGGCGAACCAAACCAAACAAATCCCCAGGGCCGGATGAAGTGTTTGCCAGGGTGCTTAAAGAATGCAAAGAGGAGCTTTGTGACCCACTGTCAACCATATTTAATAAATCAATAGAGTCAGGCAGAGTGCCGGAGTTTTGGAAAGTTGCTAATGTGATACCAGTTTTTAAGAAAGGAGATAGATCACTTGCGTCTAACTATCGACCAATTAGCCTAACGTCTATTGTGGGAAAGTTACTCGAATCTATAATAGCAAATAAAATTCGTCTTCATCTTGAAAAACACAAATTAATAATTGAGTCGCAACATGGTTTTATAAATGGCCGTTCATGTTTAACAAATTTGTTATCTTTTTATTCTAGCATTGTTGAGGCAGTTGATAGTGGTAAGGATTGTGATGTTGTATACCTTGACTTTAGCAAAGCTTTTGATACAGTGCCACATGAAAGACTGATTAAAAAGATAGAGTCTCATGGTATTGGGGGTGCTATATTAAGCTGGATTAGGGCATGGCTATACCAAAGGAAACAGAGAGTTAGTATAAATGGAATCAAGTCAGAGTGGGAAAATGTTGTAAGTGGAGTGCCTCAAGGCTCTGTCCTGGGACCTCTGTTGTTTATAATATATATAAATGATTTAGACTCAGGTTTGAGTAGCAACATTTGCAAATTTGCCGATGATACGAAAATCGGTAGGGAAATTAATTCGGAGGAGGACTCACTATCACTTCAAGTTGATCTAGATAGGGTTTTGAAATGGTCAAAGGATTGGCAGATGCAGTTTAATGCTGATAAATGTAAAGTTCTGAGGTTAGGTAATGATGATAGAGTTACAAGATACGAGCTAGATGGTGTTGTGATTGCGAAGTCGGATTGCGAAAGGGATCTGGGAGTTATGATTAGTAAGAATTTAAAACAAAAGGATCAATGCATAAATGTTCGTAATAAGGCAAATCGGACACTTGGATTTATTAATCGAAGCGTTAGTAACAAGACACCTGGTGTGGTTCTCAAGCTATATCTTGCTCTAGTTAGGCCCCATTTAGATTATGCAGTTCAGTTTTGGTCGCCATATTATAGAATGGATATAAATTCACTTGAACGTGTCCAGCGTAGGATGACTAAGTTAATTCCCCAAATTAGAAATCTTTCATATGAAGAAAGATTAACAAAGCTTAAGTTGCATTCACTGGAAAGGCGAAGAGTTAGGGGTGACATGATAGAGGTTTACAAGTGGATGAATGGACATAACCGGGGGGATATTAATAGGGTATTAAAAGTATCAACACAGGACAGAACACGAAACAATGGGTATAAATTGGATAAGTTTAGATTTAGGAAAGACTTGGGTAAATACTGGTTCAGTAACAGGGTTGTTGATTTGTGGAACCAATTGCCGCGTAACATTGTGGAGGTGGGGTCCCTCGATTGTTTCAAGCACGGGTTGGACAAGTATATGAGTGGGATTGGGTGGTTATAGAATAGGAGCTGCCTCGCATGGGCCAATAGGCCTTCTGCAGTTACCTTTGTTCTTATGTTCTTATGTTCTTAAATTGGATAAGTTTAGATTTAGGAAAGACTTGGGTAAATACTGGTTCAGTAACAGGGTTGTTGATTTGTGGAACCAATTGCCGCGTAACATTGTGGAGGTGGGGTCCCTCGATTGTTTCAAGCACGGGTTGGACAAGTATATGAGTGGGATTGGGTGGTTATAGAATAGGAGCTGCCTCGTATGGGCCAATAGGCCTTCTGCAGTTACCTTTGTTCTTATGTTCTTATGTTCTTAAATTCGCACGATTTTTGGCCGCTAGCTGCGAAAATCGCCCCATTTTTGGCCGCTAGCGGCGAAAATAGCCCCTTTTTTGGCCGCTAGCGGCGAAAATAGCCCCTTTTTTGGCCGCTAGCGGCGAAAATCGGTCGATTATTGGCAGGTAGCGGCGAAATTTGCGCGATTTTTGCCCGCCAGCTGCAAAAATCGCATGGTTTCTGGCCGCTATAGCGTCGAAAATAGCGCGGTTTTCGACCGTTAGTCGCAAAAATCGCCCGATTTTTGGCGGCTAGCGGCGAAAATCGTACGGTTTTTGGCCGCTAGCAGCGAAAATCGCGCTATTTTTGGCCGGTAGTTAGTTTAGTTCATTTATTATGCACCCCATACCCATCTTGTGGGCGGTAGCGGAAAGGGTTACAGAGGCACATAATGGGCTCAGGGACTGAACCCCACAATTCATTTAGCTAAGCAAGTTACAATCTTGATGAGCTAGTTACAAAATTCAATATAAGTCATCACATCAACAATGGGTTCGAGATCGACCTCAAGTACAGGTTCTAAATTAAGCAACTGACATATGTGGAGAGCTAGTGTCAAAATTTATATGTTTGTCCTGCACACCGCCCCCCATCCAGTGGGCAGCGGTGGATAGGTTACAATCACTTAGTTACTACCTACAGTTAGCAAACTGGGGATATTTGGCTAAAATTTCTGGTAGCAGATCATTTTGAATGAAATATTGACACATCGCTGGAACATTGGTTATAGAATTGTCTCTAAATTCACGTATCTTTTCGCACTCCATCACATAGTGACGGAGGGTGTGCGAATAGCGGCGAAAATTGCGATTTTTCCCGCCAGCTGCGAAAATCGCATCGTTTTTGGCCGCTAGAGGCGAAAATCGCGCGGTTTTTGGCAGGCAGCGACGAAAATCGCGCTATTTTTCCCCGCCAGCTGCAAAAATCGCATAGTTTCTGGCCGCTAGCGGCGAAAATCGCCCCATTTTTGGCCGCCAGCGGCGAAAATAACCCCTTTTTTGGCGTCTAGCGGCGAAAATCGGTTGACTTTTGGCAGCTAGCGGCGAAATTCGCGCGATTTTTGCCCTCCAGCTGCAAAAATCGCATGGTTTCTGGCCGTTAGCGTCGAAAATAGCGCGGTTTTCGGCCGTTAGCGGCAAAAATCGCCCGATTTTTGGCGATTATTTCGCTCCGAACCGGAGCCCGAAATAATGTAAATTGAATTAATCCGTTCCAGACTCACCCAAAAATTTACTTCAAAGTAAATTTTATACCTAATTCACCCAAATCTTCAGTACTAAAGTATGACAAGTTATTACTTACCTTTACTGATGACTCTTGTTAGAGTATGGAAGACGGTGAGGAGGGGGGGGAGGAGAGGTGTTAGTGTTTGGAAGGGGAGTCCCCCTTCCATTATAACATCAGGCAGTGATGACTTCACTGGGGTACACTCTTTGGCACATTTTGCCTGCATAGCACTAGGACCTGCTTGTGGCTCACTGCTTGTTTTTCTCACTAAAAACCTGTCTAGTGACACTTGTTTTTCCCTACATTGTAACACTTGTCTGAAGTGAGACATGAAATTGCCATTAAAAAGGTATATGCAATGATCTGCTACAGCTTGATTTGGGTGACACTTTTCAGCAAAGCTTTGTAATTCTTCCCATACTGCACACATTTTCTTAATAAATGAGGAAGGGACATCCTCTACTCTACATCAACAACTGTCATACCATTTTCATGTTTACGAATAATCGCTTGTTTTTCATCTATGGTCATTCTCACATGTGTTTTCTTGGCTTGAATCTTACCACTGGCTTTCTTGGGACCCATAGCGAGGTATATAATAACAACTTTTATGTTCAAATACCCAAAAATCCCCAAAAAACTAATTCTTTATAAAGAATTCAGGCACGCTTGTCATTAGGCAGGAGGCACTGGTAAACTGAGGCGCGATCGCTGTGCCACCACAGGCTAGGTCGACCATACGCGTATCAACAAGCTTCGTTTCCCAAGGCAAAGCTCATAACCTGATTCGGATTTTACGAAGAAATTGGGCTCGTGACCCGAAAAGTTCGTAAATCGGGGCATTCGTAAGCCAACATATAAATTTTGACACTAGCTCTCCACATATGTCAGTTGCTTAATTTAGAACCTGTACTTGAGGTCGATCTAGAACCCATTGTTGATGTGACGACTTATATTGAATTTTCTAACTAGATCATCAAGATTGTAACTTGCTTAGCTAAATGAATTGTGGGGTTCAGTCCCTGAGCCCATTATGTGCCTCTGTAACCCTTTCCACTACCGCCCACAAGATGGGTATGGGGTGCATAATAAATGAACTAAACTAACTAACGTAAGCCGAGGTGTCACGATGGCAATTTTCGGCTGAAGCACATATGAATGAAAAGCGACGTTACTTGTAAGAGGATGGGTTGGCTAACTTGTATAATGCAATAAGAGGCTGTAAACTAGTCCTATAGAAACAAAATAAAAACACTGTTTGAGAGATTGGCCTCACAGTTTTAACATTTTTGCAAGACTCTTTTTACGATGCCATAATTTTTTTTTTTTTTTTTTTTTTTTTTTGAGATATATACAAGAGTTGTTACATTCTTGTACAGCCACTAGTACGCGTAGCGTTTCGGGCAGGTCCTTAATCCTATGGTCCCTGGAATACGATTCCCTGCCGCGAAGAATCGTTAATAATAATAGGATAAGTAATTAGAATAGCAGACACCCAAAATGCAACGAGTCTCAGTGGCTTTGCAGGACTACCATCTAATCACCAACAACTGTAAATACCCAACTCATAGTAACTTCCTGTATATGTATAAATAAACAATAAATAAAATGATAAAGTACAAACATATTACAAAAAAGTCATTTATTTAATCCCCCAAATTTTCCAATAAAATATAATTATCCTCTATTTGAATACAGACCATTATTTAGTCTTAAATAACATTACCATATTCTCTGAACTTCTGCATTCCAGTTTATAAAATTACATTTTTAAGACATATTTTACCAAAGTAAATAAAGCTATTTTATAGAAAAGAAATTTGAGAAATACATTGCAAGAGACAGTAGAGTAAGAAAGAAAACAAAACTTCAGCTTTTATCCAGCTCCTTAGTTAAGCTCATCTCATGTTTTATCATGACTCCATGTCTGACTAACCATTCTGTGAGATGGAGCTGTTAGAGGAATTCATAGCCAGCTCTTGATCTACTCTGTAAATAGAGGAATTCATAGCCAGCTCTTGATCTACTCTGTAAATAGAGGAACTCATAGCCAGCTCTTGATCTACTCTGTAAATAAAAGAACTCATAGCCAGCTCTTGATCTACTCTGTAATTAGAGAAACTCATAGCCAGATCTTGATCTACTCTGTAATTACAGAAACCCATGACCTACTCTTGGTAATCCCTCACACACAACAGGATAACAGCACACTGCTGTGTACTCAAGCTTGTTACATAAAATATAAAAAATAGTTTAAGAAATTACTTTTACATTATATATAAAGCCTAACATTAATGAACAGTATTCTTTTGTAATTGTAATATAATAAAAATCTTAAATATTTACATTGAAGCTATCAAAATGTATTTTTATTCTACAGAGACATTTTCTGTCCAGAAGACCGTAAAATGGGACCTGCATATGCCTTGTCAATTTTTGTGGTCCTGGAAGCTGTTTTATTTACTCTTTTCGCTAGTTTTTTCTTAACTATATCAGTAGCTGTTGTGGATTCCTGTAACTTGCTCCACTTATTTCGCAGTCTTGATGACAATGTAGGCTCGGAACACGAGTCTTCTTTTGCAGCTTCTTTTGGTTGTTTCCGAGATGCTTTGTTAATATTTACTTGCATTTTCTCCTCTCCTGCTTCATGCTTTGCTTGCTTAGCTTTACGTCTTCCCTTTTTCTCAGCTATTGTATTTGGCACTTCCACCCCACTTTCCTGCTGTTCGTTTTTCTTTATCATCTTTCTTTTAACTTTACCTCTTGAAGATACATCTGTAATGGTAAACACAACACTAATGAAACAAATGTTAAGAATAAAAGTTACTGAATGAAAATCACATTTTAATTCTGCCTAAATAGTACAATTTAAAACCAAAACAATAAAGCCAGCATTGAATATATAGTAATGAAACATGTCTTTTGGGTGGGTCCTTGGTGGGTTCCTATCTGGCAGGCTCCGCCAAACTGAATCCACATCAGACCCATGTGAGTCATGTAAGCCTACTGGGGAACAGAGGCCAAAACCTGTTTCCCCCCCACTGCCTCAAAAGAGGCACAAGGAGCAGGAGGATTGTAGATCACCCTAACCATGAATATGTTGATGTTGATGCTGTTGTTGATTGAGGGGCTTCAAGTTCAAGTAGATTTATTGAGACAATAAATTACATCTCAAAAGGATAGAGTAGTCTAGGCTATTTCTACCCTATGATAGAGGGGGCGTCGATGATCAGATACTAACCAGGAATAGGCCACCAGAAAGGTGAACGAACCAAGACATATAATTCAAGGTAAACGAAGCATAGAAAATGGGATAGCAAAGCCCCAAGACACGAACCATAGGGTCAAGAAGCAGTTCTCTCACTAGTTCCACCTGCACACCACAAGTTCACCTTCCTCAATCCACCAACCTTGACACCACCCCCGAATGGAGAAGTGAGGGTTCAAAGGAGCCACCAAGCACCAACTAGAAAGTAGTATCCATTACAGGCATTGTTGGTTTCTGGAAGGGTTCCTATTGGAACTCCATGGTCCTGTGACATCAAGAAGAACAATATATGGTGCCCAGTAAACCTCCCCCAGCCAGGATACAAACCCAGGCCAAAGCACTCGCAAAATGCCAGGCAGATGTCTTACCATTACACCACAGGGACTGCGGAAAAAACAATATTTCTGGTAGCCTCCAAAAGCCCAGAATGAACCATTCGAAAATAATAATCAGACAGGAGTTTGAACAGCCAGCTATTAAAACAGGACCCTAACCTAACCCAATCCTCTCATTGAACAAAGAGGAGCCACAGCTATGAAAACAGGACCCTAACTTAACCCAATCCACTCACTAAACAAAGAGAAGCCTGAAGACGTAGTAGTGACCATGTCTCTCGCTTAAGATAACACTGCTAGAAAATGATAGGAAAACTATCAGAAGGTTCAAATAACACCTACTCCTGACTTGACAGGGAAAGTAGAAATGCATGAAGCAAGCAAATGCATGTAAAAAGAATAGACTCCAACCTAACTTCCTTCTCTTCTTTGATCTGGGAAAACTAGAAATGTTTATGGACAGAGCTATACTGAAACACACTTTTACTTAAAAATCTGAAACCAGTGAACCACTTTAACTTGTATCTAGAAAAACTCTTAAGGAACTACCCCACAGGACCAATCAGGATCCAGACTAGAACATTTCTAGTAATAAAAAGCTACAACCAAAAAAAAGCATCGAATGTAATGAATTGCCTATTTCTGGGGAAGGGCCTCAGTGGTTTCTTGTTGCTCGCTGCACTAAGAAAGCCCCACATATATCGGAAACATCAGCCCTAGGAGACTTGATCAGCCCTAGGAGACCTAATCAGATAAGTAAAGCACCTTCACATTCTAAAAGGATTCGAGCCAAATACACCACCCTGAGAAATAGAAGGCTACGTAACCTTGGTGGGAAGCAATGATTTAACTGTCCCCGTTGCTGACGTGGAAGGATTGATCCTCAGAAAAGGCCGAGCTACACCCAAGGTTAATTACAGCCTGGACCATAAAATGTCCCAGACGTCCCAGAGCTCTGAACAAAGGTGGGTGGGGATACAGGAGGTCTGTCGAACCAAACCAGACGAACATTAGGAGGAGGAGGAGGAGGTGCAAATCATAGAACCAGTAGAAGTCACCAGCTGCTCCAACTCCAAAAGCCCTTAAAACCAAAATGGGCCAAGTCTAGGGCAACCAATTGAGCACCGAATTGAAAAACACCAAAATGTGCAAAACAAACCTGAAGCAACTGCTGCCTGTGAAGCATCATTACAAAAATAAAATAAAAAATTTGTACAATAAAAAGACAGAGACCATAGCTAAAATAGAAACCCAATGAACCCGTCACAGATGTTGTGACAGAGTATTACACACTCAACAGGTGGCATAGTAGTGACAGAACAAATGCCAATTGACTTGTAGCACAACCAATGGACATCCCTCAAACTTGCAAGAAGCAAGCTCAGTGGGCTGATCTAAGATGAACCATATCAAAGACATGCAGGGCTCCCCAGGACCTGAAAGTAAAGTCTAAGCAGTACACCCAGGGACTAGGGATGCTCACCGGATGAGCAGGTCAGACCTGTCTGATATCGGGCAAAGGACGATCACTGTTGACTTGAAGAGCTGGAAGTTCCCATGGTACTGCCACCTGGTGGTGGCCAGCTTTAACAAGGAAGAGGAGTATGACCTAAGTACTGGGTGGCTCATTTGCCAAGTTGTTTGCTGCATTGTTTGTTTACTTTCTGTGAATCTTGCTGTTGTCTGTTTTGCTTCGCTGTCTTTCTGGGAGTTTCTCACCTTTCTTTGGTGAGGGTGATCATGAATCCCCTGCTCCACTGTGCCTATGTGGGGTGCCAGGTTTTGGCTTCTGGTCTCCAGAAGGGTATTGAGGACTCCTAGGACTATTATAACTTATATGTCTGGACCTATCTAAGTGCAGCTACCAACAGGGAACCACCATTCGGCACCCCCCAGAAAATAGAGATACTTGACTGATACTAAGATACTAAGCCCCAGATGTATAACTGGGGCTTAGTATCAGTATAACTATAGTATTTCAGTCATTAGATCGTTAAAGTACAGTCTGTCTTCTGACATGTCCCAGATGATAGACTATCTTCTGGTTGGGCACCATTCCTTCACCCCCATCCCATGACAGATCCTTATCCTGTTCTCTTCCAGGGGGTATATAGTCATAATGACTTGGCACTTTCTCCTGATACATCCCTTCCCTTTTGATATATTCATTTTCTTGTGCATTGCTAATATTTCTTGCCTTTCACATGCTTCCAATCATATGCTAAACTTGTCATTGTTGTTCAGTGAAAATACTGTACCTGATTTTGGACCACATCTGATCCCTGGGCTGCCATTGCCCCTAAATCAACAACATTATTATTAGTGTGATTTATCATTCCATCGTGCTTTCTTATCATTATGTTCAATAGCAATTTGATAAACTAACCTTTGGGAGCTAGACGCCCGGGCTCTCCAGAAAACCACATGGTGCGACCGTTGTGATCAACCAGATTTCTCATTCCATCCTGATAATAACACTGCAGCCAGGCCTAAATAGTAAACAAAATTGATTACAAGGTCCTGCATATGTTACTAGGCATTTTGTCAAAAGTTTAATTGAAAAAAAAGGAGAAAGGACTCTTTATAAGTGTTCACCAGTATTTAGATTTAGATTTAATATAAAGTGTGTGCTCCAAAGCCATACTCTTTATATTAACTGAAGCAATTTCACAATTGAAAGAATGAAATCAAATTACCACAGGAAAGTACACCACAATTTCTTGTATTAAGAATTTGCTATTTATAGCGGAATACACAAGTGACAACATTGACACCACATGCATTTAGCATGAACAGAGATGGCAGATGAATAAGCCAATATGCAGATATAGAAAGTAGCAGCATTGTTTTCAGGTGCCAACATGATAATTAATGATATGCTAAGGCTTAGTCTGTATTCCCATATGCTAGGGTTTAGGTTCTAGGCTCATATACTAGGGTTTAAACATTTGTTCAAGAACTGCAACAGTCCAGTCATTGAGCCCAGGTGAAAACATATCACAGCAGTTTGATAAACTCCTGAATATAGCAAATGCATGAATGTATAAATTTTTCTCCTGGAGCAGCTAAGCAGTAACTGGATACAACCTGCTGTTCTTCTGAGGTCTTCATGCAATCTGAATAGAACATGAAAATGTTTTGTAGACTGCTGAATAGTTTTCACACTAAAATGTAAACAAGTACTGGATGAGCTCAGTTATCCGACGCCTGCTGAACCGAATATTTGGGTTATCTGGCCAACATCGCATCAGGATAATTTTGGGGTAAAACTTCCCCATATCCTCATGGAAATCCAGACAGTGGGAGACTGGTTACATACATTTTCTAGAACTATACATTTCAAGATCTACAATATCAAATAAAATGACAAACTAAAAGAAGGTAAGCAGAAGTTTCTGTATTAAATTATATTTTTGATTTGTAGAGTGTGTGTATGTGTGTGTGTAAATTCAAATTACAGTACTGTATGTTGGTTGTTGTACAAAAAATTACGAACATCATAATTTTTTGACTTGCCTGATAAGAATTCAGCTTATCTGGATGTGTAGCTTATCGATATGATGAGGGGTCCTTCCCATATTGTCTGGATAAGTGAGTGTAGACAGTACAGTATACATCAAGGCTCACTCAAATGATTAGTGGAAAGCTACATGATAAATGAGAATTATATATATATATATATATATATAAACAAGATTTTAGGGGATATAGACAAGATTTAAGGGGATATAAATAAGATTTTAGGTGATATGAACAAGATTTTATGGGACAAATTAAGATTTAACAGGATATATATACTGTACTCTAAGATTTTAAATATATCAACACAAAATCGAAATTGAAATGAAAGATATAAATTGAATAAGTTTAGATTTAGGAACGACCTGGGTAAATACTGGTTTGGAATAAAGGTTATTATTTTACGGTACAAATTACCAGGTAACATAACAGAAGTGGGATCGAGGGACTGTTTCAAACGTGGGTTAAACATATATATGAATGAGTTTGGGTGGGTATAATAGGAGCTGGCTCGTTTGGGTCAGTACGTTTTCTGCAGTTTTCTTAATTCTTATGTTCTTGTTTATCATCATAATAAACAGTTACAACTTAAAATAACATTTAAATTGATAACATTTATCAATTCATTTACCTGCTATATTTTTCATCTCATAAATGTGCATGAACAACTACATGAACTATGCATAGTGCATGAACTATGAACAATTTTCACACATCTAGAGCTCTGCATCAATGTTAATTTCTCACACAGTTGATTTATCAAGTGGGATATATAATTCTATTTGCTCATAAAATCCTTTTCATGCTCATGTGCTGCAATCATTCTTCTGCCAGTAATGCCATTATATTTCTCCTCATAAAGAAAAAAAATTATTAATCTATACTGCTAAGCTTTGCCTTTGTCCATGTTGTCTTTTAATCTACTTTAAACTTTTTCTTTACTGCTACAGTATCTTCACTATTATTCCCAGGAATATAAACTTTAGCATTCCAACCTTTTTCCTCCAAGATTATATTTCATTACAACTTTAACTTAGGACTTGTTGAAAGCATATGAAAATGTAAATAGCGAACTCTGAGGTGCGAGTAGAGCGAATCGAGTTGATAAAATTCAGTTAAAGGTTTTGAAGAGATTTTATGCTGAACGTAGTGAATTTATGAATTTAATTGTGAAATAAGTGATCAGTTGAATATTAATGTAGGTGTAAGCCTGGGTTGTGTTGTACCTCCTCTATTGCTCAATATATATGTGAAATCGATCATAAGGAAGGTTAAGGTTAAAATATTAAACAGGTATGCATACCTGGCATATACAGTATATATGAAAAATAATATATAATAAGCATACAATAAATAAGTGCAGTGCAGGATAAAAATCACTGGTATTTGGCCACCTAACACATGTTATTCGTGATCAAACCACATACCAGAAAATGAAGAAACTACAACATTTCGGTCCATCCTAGACCATTGTCAAGTCATGTGAAAGACCTTAGTAAATCACATGACTTGATAATAGCCTGGACGGACCAAAATGTCGTCGTTTCTTCATTTTCTGAAGTGTGGCTTGGTCATCATATCTTCAGCCACGTTGTGATTCATCATCTTCATCCCTATACTGTATATACTTGTTACCAGAAAGTCCAGACAGGACTGGCTACCTCAGTGCTCAGTGATTTGTTTCTGTGAAACTACCAAGTGTTTAGAGAAAATATTTTAAATGCAAGGTAGCATGATCTGTTGGCATTCATTAGTAGCCTTTTATGTTCATTCCATGATACAGTACAGTTCCCATTAATTTGATGAAACTTTACTGTACTATACAGTACAGTACAGTACATCCTGGTGCAGAATACAGTAGGTGTATATCTGCACCAGGATATTTGTGGTGGCAATATCTGCCCATTGTTATTACCCAAAATATAGGTTTGTGTGTTTCTTTCTTTGTTATTCTACAGTTTGTGAACTATACATCTAAGTGAAACCAGATGTTTTGTAATTTCTCCAAACCGCTGTATGAGTTTTCTATAACTTTTTTTTCTCTTTTTCTATTTCAATAATTTCCATATTAACATTCCTTGCATTTCCATTTTTTATTTCAATTAAAATATTCACAGCATTTCCATTTATGCTTCAATAACTAATTATACTTGAAAGAGAACAAATGTGTTTTACCCGAAATTCCTTGTATTCGTTGTCATCAGCATCAGGATCAACATTATAGCCTTTTCCACCTCCACTAAGGTGGATCACTTCTTTAGGCAAAATGCAACAAAGATCCAGAAAGTCAGGCTTAACTTCACACATATCATCTTTCTCTTGTTTGGTTTGCACTGTATTCCACTTGCTGAAAGGCTTTAACTCACTCAGTACTTCCCTTGCCTCATCAAAGGGACGAATGTTGCCTCTGAAAATTGGAAACAAATGATTGAACTAACCTAGTACTGTTAAAGCATATTTATAACATCATACTTTAAGAAATGCAATGTGCCTGAAGTTAAGCCTTGTGTAAACTTCTTTTCATTTATTAACCTAAGCCATTCCTGAAAAATAGGGAAAACTTTAGTGATTGCATACAATAAATAAGTTTCTATGAATTACCACAAAGTGAGTTAGTCAATACTTTCCTAATTCTGAAGCTATATTTGTCTCGGTTATTCATTTCCTCTCCAGTCACTTCCCAATTTCTTACTTGCACATTTTCTAACTACTATCCTCACCTTCAATTTGCATGGGAGAGATTTGGGAATAATTTATGTAATCAATCCATAGGCACGGCATTTAGAACTGGAGTTATGAGTGTAGAATACTAATACAGTACTGTATACATTAAACCATGTAACTAGCTTATCAACACTGTAGCTTGCTTAGCTAAATGAATTTTGGGGTTTAGTGCCTAAGACCAATATATATGTGCCTTGTAATCTTTTCCACTACTGCCCCATGGAATGGGTATGGGGTGTATAACAAATGAACTAAACTGAATTGAATGTAGAAGAGGTACATGTGGGCACTAAGAATGAAATAGGAATATGGTGTAAACTCAAGAATGTTATAGACTGACATGATCTTCCTGGATGTGTTTAATATTTTAAGTATCAGTTTGGAAAAATAAGGTTGAACCTTTTAATAACAGATGGATATCTTTTTTAAACAAAATTTTTATTAACAATTAATGATATGAGTGAAAATAGATTACTAACTATATAGCCACCAAATGAGTGCATTCGTGAAGAAAATGAGAACAGTAATTGCATTACGATATAAAAAAAAATATAAACCGGGCACCTGTAGGCTTTTGTTGAATGTAATGAAGCTTCTGTTGTTTTGCTTATGTAAACCTACAATTTTTTATATGAATGGAATTTTAGAACAGTAGCAAAACCTACTTTCACTTTACCTTCCTACTTTCAGAATTCTTACTTTTTAACATGTACAGTAATATAATTAGTATAGTACTTAGTACTGTAATTAGTACACTATTTAGCAGTTTTTAAATTTTTAATGTAATTTTTTCTTTTGCTTTTCACTTATCAATTGCATTCTATGCATTATATTAAAGAGATATAAAACACCTATCAAAAATAATTATGGCAAAATACCAGTTAAGAAGTTAGAATTTAGAAAAACTAAAGAAATATTTTGCCATATCATATATCAGGCTTATAAAACTTTATAAAATACTGTTGGAAAAATAAGACATAATGTAATGTTGGTTACTGCAGTTACTCAGAGATATAATAAAACAAATAAGTTTATCAGGAATATAGCTTTTGCCATAAGTTACAGAAAGCCATTACAGTACATTGAAAGAGCTCCTGGTAGTACAGTTGGGTTCGTTCCTGACTCACAATCGGGAATTCCAAGTTTGAATCCCGGGCAGGGCAAATGGGATGATACATTTCCTACCACCTAATGGTCTTGTTCACCTAACAGTAAATTAGTAAATAGGTATGCAGGAGTTTATCAGCTTGATGTGGGGTTGCATCCTAAGAAGGGTCAGTAGTTAGACATTGAAGGGGACTTCGGCATAAGCCTAAAATGGACACTACTGCCAGTCCTCTCACCCTATATATTACCCCCAGCCCAGCACAAAATTTGCATATCACAAACCTGTATAAAATTTCTGCTCTCAAGTAGTTGCCAATGCCATTAAAATACTTCTGATCCAACATTGCTTCACAAATAGGCTTTTTAAACACTGATGAGTCAAGATTTGCCATAATATTTTCTCTAAAACTCTCATATTCCCACACTGGGTCCGGACCTCGGTCACGACCCCAAGTGCCTCCAACTTCCCAGCGACCAAAGCGACGATAATCAACAAAACTCAGCACCATTGGGATTTCTTCATTAATGGTGTAGAACCTGCAAAATCATAAGTAAGCCTTTTGTATATGCTAAAATATAAAAATTACATTTCATAAATATCACACAAGGAAGGCATAAGCATCCACTGTTAATAAATGTTGATAATTTAGCCTAAAAAAGTTTTTCTAATTATTTTTTATCAAAAAGTATTTGTAACTACAAATAATACAAATAATGTATGACAAAGTAAACAAACACTACTCTTATAAAACAACATTCTGTATATTCTAAAACGAAGCCAATCTGGTTATACAGTACAAATCTAAAAATAAGTACAAATATTTAATTATATTTAAGTATACTTTGGCCTATATTTGCCTAGGTATATATTTTTTATATTTTATTAAATGCAATAATTTAAGTATCATCAGGGAGAGGGATATAAAGAAAAAAGTAAATTTGTGAATAGTTTACTATACTGTACCTTAATGTATGGGTCTATAAGCCTAGGCTAATGATCAACATTAGCAATTCTACATAGACTTTATGAACATGCAATACATTCACAGTGTAATTAGTTTTATATTTTCTAAATTATTATATGTGCAGCAGTACAACATATTGGTTATTCTTCTGTTATAAAATGTTTTTTCTTACAAGATTTTTAAATTAGCATTTATATACAGCTAATTAAACAAAATACATTAAGCTTTATGTCTTATTTTTTCAATAACTAATATATATAAGAAAATGCTAAAAAACATACTGAATGATACAGTTCTCTACTGTATTTATATTTTATTGTTCTTAAAAAAACCAAACCCCAACAATACAATCTTTAGGCCTACCTTAAATGGGCATGTTTGGGCATATCATCAACCGGTGTGAACTTGAAGGAGCCCGACATTCCAAACCGGAAGACAATATCCAGAGCTTTTCCACCTTTCTGATCTTTCGCTCCTTCACACAGCGTCACCTTCAGCTCCTTGCCTCGGGCCACAGCGTGCAAGTTGTACTCGGCGGCCTCCCATGCCACCTCAGGGTTCCTGGTTGACACTTCCGACTTCACAACTCGCCCTCCATAAAGTCTCTCCTGACTTACAGTATTGATGAAAATCGATGCCAGGAATAATTCTGGTCCTTCAGGCATGCTGCAAAGTGACGATCCTTAGCCAGCTTGCGCTAAGTCACCAAGCTTCCTTTATGTAACTTAGTTCCTTGGCTCACATTGCTGAACTTTGCTCAATATAAGCATCAAATTTAGATTCTTGGCTCACCAGAAGTGCTAATCTAGCTCCTTGGCTGAGTTGGTTCACCTCATTTGGCTAAATTAACTTCTTGGCTCACCTCCCGTGACTAAATTAGCGTCTTGGCTCATCTCCCGTGATTATATTAGCTTTTTTGGCTCACCTTATGTAGTTAAATTAGATCCTTGGCTCGCCTACTTGCTCTTTATAGTAGATGCAGTTTGTAAGCTCACTGACTTGGCTTTCTCGCTCGCATTTTATTGTTGTTGTTGATAGGTTAGGGGCAGCTACAACACTTGGCCTGTATTGTTGTTGATCATTATATTTATTTATCATCATTGTTATTATTATTAAGATCATTGTTCGATTTGGCATTGAAAACAATACACAACTTAAGTAATTCTAAGTTGTTATAATTATTGTCAGATACCCTGTCTTCATTATCATTACTATTATTGAGAAAATCAGAAGGAGCTACTGGAGACACCCAAGCACATACTTATTTAAACCCCTTAACTACAACAAGCTCAAAAATGCAGGTTCGAATCCCCCTTTATCGCGCCTAAGTACAACTAGATGAGTACACACACACAAACAAAATAAACATTACAAATGAATGAAAGAAGTAGACATGAATATATCTACAGAGACACCCTGTAATGTGAATGCCTTTCTGAACGGGGGATAGACACGCGTCTAGATCAATTCTAGGTGTAGAGTTAAACTACTAGATTAATAGATGTAGGTGGTGAATAGATAGGTGGGCTTGGGTGTGTATGGGCAAGTACGGGGGTGGTTTAAGGGGTCAGGTGAGACTCCAAGTAGCACTGAAGGCCGAGAGCCAAATATAGGTGCAGGTGATGCAGGTGGCGAGGGAGGCGGTCAGGTGGCCGGAGACGGTCTTGGAGGCGGTGTTGCTGGCCGTGTCTGGCGTCGAGGCCCCGTGGTGTATCGCGGCAGAGTTCTCGCCTGCAGGAGACAAGGTCGTTATCAGGAGCAAGCGCTCGATCTGCATGGCTATACTGCACTCAGAAGGGACATGACGACGGACTAAGAGTTGGTATATTAAGGCAAGATAGAGATGGAATACGTCAGAATAAGAACTGATAGATTATGACAAGATAGAGATAGAATACGTCAGGATAAGAGCTGGTATATAAAGACAAGATAGAGATGGAATACGTCAGTATAAGAGATAGGACGTAAGAATGGAGTGAAGTATACTGATGTTCCACTTTACCAATTGGACAACCGATGGTCCACTAACCAATTGGACCACTCCGATGGTCCAATTGGACAACCAATTGGACCATCGGAGAACGAATGCCGTCCCAGCCAAAAGTGAGGTCGTCAATGTACCAACCAGACATCATGATTGAGCACCTTTCCTTTCCTCGAACCTCATCTTCGAGTTCAAGTACTCCTACTGCGTTAATAAAATACATCCCAAAAAGGATAGAGTAGCTTAGGCTATTTCAACCCTCCAGAGCCCTCGCATTCCATCTCTTAGCCCTGTCCTCATATCCATTCCAAGTGCTATATAGGTAAATAAGTCCCCAGACATTTAATTTTGACTCCAAACACCAAAACGGAATTAGCAAACATGAGAGAGAGAGAGAGAGAGAGAGAGAGAGAGAGAGAGAGAGAGAGAGAGAGAGAGAGAGAGAGAGAGAGAGAGAGAGAGAGAGAGAGAGAGAGAGAGAGAGAGAGAGAGAGAGACAAAGACAGACAGAAAGACAGAGAGACAGGGGGTGGGGACAAGAGGTCGGACGGAATTCCTCTCCATTGACTGTCAGACAGCAGTTGACACTGTATCACAGAAAAAAGACCCCTCCTCAACCGGGAGAAGTATACTGGTATTCCTGAAAGAGAACTATGGAGGGTGAGGGACAACGTCTTAGAAAGGCGGCAAAGGATCAAGTTACAGTGCAAGAATTTTTTACTGGCTGTCATAATTATGTGTGCAGATTGGGTGCAACTTATGAAGTAAAATACCCGTTGAGGTATGATTAAGATCTTTCGTGTCCTTTTAATCCTTTTATGCGCTACTGTGCACAAAATGAATATTCGGTGCACAATAAACTACCGCGCACAGGATGAGTCTGTGCTGCACAATAAACCACCGCTCACAGGATGAGTAAGGGGGTGCACAATAAACTAGCCGCCGCTGGTGGGTAATAGATAATAGTGAAGGAAAGTATCAGAGTGGGATACCACAAGGGACCATTCTAGGGCTAGTCCTCTCTCCAATATACACAAGTTCCCTGACAAGGGGAAACAGGCCTCAGAAAGTCAATGTTTACAGAGAATACGAAACTAAAGAAAACAATTTGAGCAGAGCGAGACTAATGTTCTAGGAAAACGAATAAACCTTGAAAGTGGCGGGTTGAAATAACACAAGAGAGGAAATAACGTCGGAAGCACAAGTTAATTGATACCCAAATCGATAACCTTTATTTATTAAAAATAAATCTAAATATATGATAAGCTCGCTCCTGAGCTTAAGGCCCGAGGAAAGCCTAAGGGCACAAAACATTACCAAAATAATGGAAAAATAGGGAAGACATGATAACGTCATATAAAATGGCTACTACGACAATAGAACAACGAAGACTGGGGGCCTAGCTTAGCCCAGGAGCTAGAGCTCAAAGTAATATGACACTGCTAGGGGGGCAAAAGACTTTCTTTTTTAATCTGCCTCTCAACACTGACCTGCCAGAACGTGGATGGCCACAGAGTCACTGGTGTAGTTACTGTACCAGCAGGAGTACACGCCGGAGTCCGAGGGGACGGCATCGGCCACGTAAAGCCGACTCCTGACGAAGCCCCAGGCTGCCTCACCCCTCACACTGTGTGGGAGAGATGAGGGAGAGCGGGTGACGTCCCTTTCCACCTGTCCTCGGGGTATTCTGTCTCCTCGATCGTATTTTCATGATGAACGGAGAAAGGTGAAAGGGGGATGTGTATGTGTGGAGATATTTATTTCTCTTAGTGGTAGGGGACTCACCTGATGCCGCCCCTTGAGGTGTTGAAGGCCAGGACGGTGGCTCCCCTGCGCCAGGTGACCAGGGACTCACCTGATGCCGCCCCTGGAGGTGTTGAAGGCCAGGACGGTGGCTCCCCTGCGCCAGGTGACCAGGGACTCACCTGATGCCGCCCCTGGAGGTGTTGAAGGCCAGGACGGTGGCTCCCCTGCGCCAGGTGACCAGGGACTCACCTGATGCCGCCCCTGGAGGTGTTGAAGGCCAGGACGGTGGCTCCCCTGCGCCAGGTGACCAGGGACTCACCTGATGCCGCCCCTGGAGGTGTTGAAGGCCAGGACGGTGGCTCCCCTGCGCCAGGTGACCAGGGACTCACCTGATGCCGCCCCTGGAGGTGTTGAAGGCCAGGACGGTGGCTCCCCTGCGCCAGGTGACCAGGGACTCACCTGATGCCGCCCCTGGAGGTGTTGAAGGCCAGGACGGTGGCTCCCCTGCGCCAGGTGACCAGGGACTCACCTGATGCCGCCCCTGGAGGTGTTGAAGGCCAGGACGGTGGCTCCCCTGCGCCAGGTGACCAGGGACTCACCTGATGCCGCCCCTGGAGGTGTTGAAGGCCAGGACGGTGGCTCCCCTGCGCCAGGTGACCAGGGACTCACCTGATGCCGCCCCTGGAGGTGTTGAAGGCCAGGACGGTGGCTCCCCTGCGCCAGGTGACGGTGCGGAAGGGGAAGGGCACCTGGTCGATGACACACTTGAGCTCTATCATACTGCCGCTGTTGTAGTGCTTCTCCTCCACATCCTGCCCTCGCTCGTCCACCACCCGCGCTCTCGGCTCTGCCCACCACACCACCACATGAGGGCACGGAGACATATGAGGCACACGGAGACATATGAGGCACACGGAGACATGAAGACACAAGGAGACATGAGGGCACGGAGACATGAGGACACATGGAGACATATGAGGGGCACGGAGACATGAAGACAAGGAGACATGAGGACACCGAGACATGTCAAACACGGAGAGTGAGAATGAAAATGAGAGATGAGAAACAATGTGAGCCTCACACAGCCACTTACCAATGACGACGAGGGTAGCTGAGAGGAGGAGAGGGGGCAGGGAGGCCACCTGGCACCAGTACTGGCCATGGTCCCCCCGCCGGGCGTCACGGATCACCAGCCGCCAGCGACGCCACCTGCCGCCGCTCTCCCGTACTAGCGAGGACCTATCACACAATGAAAATTAACTTCCGGAATTACCTTCGTTTTCTTGCAACTGCAAAGCTGTCGCTAAAAAAGAAGAACACACACTCAAACATAAAGACACACGCAAATATTACAGACAGACACGCACTCAGACATACTTCAGATGCACTCTAACAAGGTAAAGAGACGAAAAATTTTCTGAAGAGTGAAAATAGTAGAGATGGGAGGAGCCGGGCGAGGAGTTTCTAGGCTAACGTCCCGCGCCGCTGCTGCACAAGTTTGTGTGAGACCAGACCTGGTTGGGCAGGAGTCATTGTACACGGCGCCTGAGAACTATATATGACAGTACTAAGAGCTGAGACTCGACCCTACATGTAGGTGAGTGTACACACACACACACACACACACACACACACACACACACACACACACACACACACACACACACACACACACACACACACACACACGCACACGCACGGGGCCTAGCGGCTGAGTGGAAAGCGCTCGGGGGGTTGTAGTCCTAAGGACTCGGGTTCGATTCCCAGCGGAGGCAGAAACAAATGGGCAGAGTTTCTTTCACGCTGATACCTTTGTTCACCTAGCAGTTAATAGGTACATGGGAGTTAGACAGCTGCTATGGGCTGCTTCCTTGGGGAGTATTCAAATAGTTGTTTGTGTGTGTGTGTGTGTGTGTGTGTGTGTGTGTGTGTGTGTGTGTGTGTGTGTGTGTGTGTGTGTGTGTGTGTGTGTGTGTGTGTGTGACAGAAACATATGTAGTAAATAGATTTGTACTCACTACACAGTCGACAGTATGAAAGGCGGGGTCCAAGAGCTAACAGGTCTATCTGCAGGAACAAATTGTACATACAAATAGTAAATATACACTCACTCAAAACCCTTACGTGTTTCCACATCTAACTATACTTACCAATGTGTATGTGGAGTTCGGTTTAGCTCTGGGGCCCCAGCTAATATCTATTGTATCAGTTGTAACTGTCCCCTACATCCTGGTGTTCGAGTTCTCCCTCATACTTACATATCAGGATATATATGTAGTTTCATAGTGTGTTTTTCTCCGCCTCTCAGAACGGAGCACGAAGGTCGACTTCCAGTCTTGAGTAGACTCAAGAGTCGTTGGTGAGGGAGTAAAGTATGTGGGGGAAGTCTACTCGAGTCTACTCGAGTAGATTTCAAGTATAATCGAGGGTCGGTCGAGTCTACAGTTCGAGTCGGTAATAATAATAATAATAATAATTATTATCAATGTTCTTCAGTTTATATAAAAAAGAGAGGCCATCAACCCTGTAAAATTTTTATTTGAAAATTAGGAGTAAAACATTACATTGCACATTAAGGAGGAAACCAAATTTTTTCTCATACAATAAAACTCTTTGAACTGGTTCTACCGTGTTCACATATGCTGTATTATTACTACGTCCCCCACAATGTAGCTGTGAGTACACATCATGTCACCAGGTACCACAATGTACCTCTGAGTACACACCATGTCACCAGGTCCTACAATGTAGCTCTGAGTACACAACATGCCACCAGGTCCCACAATGTACCTCTGAGTACACAACATGCCACCAGGTCCCACAATGTAGCTCTGAGTACACAACATGCCACCAGGTCCCACAATGTAGCTCTGAGTACACCAGTCCTACATGTACACAACACCAGGTCCCACAATGTAGCTCTGAGTACACAACATGCCACCAGGTCCCACAATGTAGCTCTGAGTACACAACATGCCACCAGGTCCTACAATGTAGCTCTGAGTACACAACATGCCACCAGGTCCCACAATGCACCTCTGAGTACACAACATGCCACCAGGTCCCACAATGTATCTCTGAGTATTCCCAAAATTACACATGGGGATTGGAGAACGCTGTTTCACCAAAATAGTGAGGTACTAAAGTGTGTTTTATCCTGCCATAATGCAACGAGAAAGAGAATTTCATTTCTCCGAGTTGCTTTTTGTGTTAAGGATGAATTTTGGGTGGAGGGGAGAGAGAGAGAGAGAGAGAGAGAGAGAGAGAGAGAGAGAGAGAGAGAGAGAGAGAGAGAGAGAGAGAGAGAGAGAGAGAGAGAGAGAGAGAGAGAGAGATCGCTCTCTCAGACCTTCAAACCCACGCCACTGTGTTTGGTGAATGTCGCAATAATCACTATTTTCGCAGGTATTGTATTTCTGTTCACAATAAACTCTACACACATTACTACCCAGACATAAAGTTAGTCTTTCACCATCGGGAATACTTACATTACCTTAGACTTACGGTTTCATACTCGGTCTACTTCCGCGTGACGAAATCTCTGAGGACATGAGCTAGACAGCCTTTGTGCTCTGCGTAGATGACCCCAACCCGTCCTCTTAAAAATAACGTCACTTGTCGCTCGTATGCGCGCTATGGCCAAAAGTGGACGTAATTTGAAATGAAATCGACTCACAAAAGTGACGTACTGTCCCGTTTTCTGTTTGAGCCGTCCGGCTTACTCGGCAAGGTTAGAAGAGGAAGCTTTCACTTAACGTTTTTCATAACGTTTTGAAACTTTATGAGAATTTTCTGCCCACCTAACCTATCAGAGGACCCTTAACTTACTGTTGTTGAAAAAAAAATCCCAAATTTATTTTCATTTTTTTTTTCATTTTCAAATTACGTCCATATTCGGCCATACGGGCAAACGGCCAAAAGCGACGTTATTTTAGCGTTCTGTTCTCTTTAAATGTATTTAAATGTTATATCAGAAACAAAATGTGCTTGTATTCGCTCCAAGTCATAGTACTGGCAAGAGTTTGGAAGGCATCTGACAGATGCCATCAGGACTAATACACAGGACTAATGCGTACTTAGAAAATGATATGTTGATTTGTTCAATGACTGACAAAACCTGTCCAACTCGTCTGTCTCCGCAGGATTTATGTATCTATCTGTGTTAAACTGGGCTATTATTTTTTAACACAGGTGGGTATAGGTGAAGACGATTCTGACATCTCGGACGTAGGTTCGAATCCTCGTCACGGCCCTTGTGGATTTGTTCATTTGATGCATCACGCTATTGTGATTTTTGTGTGTTGTGACTTCTGTTAACTGGCTGAGAGCTTCCCTTTCCTATAGCTCATGATAAGCCATTGCTCAAACTGGTAGAACATGCGAGTGACGACTTTTGCAACGTTGCTGATGCAGGACTGCAGCTCGTACCTCTCCTGTCACCGGTTCATTTGAATGTGCGTCGTCTGTACCTTCCTGGGAACGAAACTCGCTGAATGAGGGAAATAGCGACTAGGGCAACATTAAGTCCTCGCTCTCTCCCTGTTTCATCTCTGTCACTCCGGAGCCCTGGGCAGATGAGTCGATGTCTCACCTCGGGGAAGAGTGGCGAGCTGCGCACGCACACACACACACACACACACACACACACACACACACACACACACACACACACACACACACACACACACACACACACATACTGAATCCCCGGGTGAGGAAGATTCTCTGTTTCGCCTCGACCAGGAATGCATGGGCCTCGTATCGTTGTATCCTGCCTTTGACACTACACATGGTCCCTTTGTGAATCATTAATTGAACTTAAACGAACAGAGACGTTACTCTCCACGCTTGTGTCTCAAAGTAATTTTAACACGTTTAAATGTTCATATACAGAGAATGATATTAACTAGCTTATTACCTACTGCATATTTATATTTACTCATTTTGTATATATGTATATCTATGTCAATAAATGGAAATGTCTGTCTTTGATATCAGTCTGTTGAAGGTTCGATGCCAGACGCTTGGGGCAAGCCTCACTAAACTTTGCAGAGCCCCCATTTCATGACCCCAATGAAATCAGAGGTGATGAAATATGGTGTTCCGAATCCCTAGAGTTTCATAATTTTCATCCACTGAAAAGTGTACACACTCACACACACACGTGTGTGTGTGTGTGTGTGTGTAAATATATATATATATATATATATATATATATATATATATATATATATATATATATATATATATATATATATATATATATATAATGGTCAATAGGTCCATTACAGCTTACCAATCTCCAATATTTCCATGATGGCTGCGGCAGTATACTATATGTTTCATTGTGTTCTTGAAGATGGCAGAGTGTATTTTGGTATTAATTGGCTGCAGATGATTGGCTTGGTTTTGCTTCACCTATAATATCTCGCCCATGTCCAGTCTTCTGTTGTCACTGTATTTGTCGAGTAATATGGTGTTGTGTGTCAGGATATCTCTGGTGATGATCTGGTTATGTGTAGAGACTACATGTTCCTTCATGGAAGCTAGCTGTTTGTGCATTGTTAGAAGCCTTGAAAGGGAGCCTAACATGCACAATGTTGTCTTGCCTATATATTGAGTTCGTTTGGGCTGATAGCCTCAAAGTGCGTAGGTGAGGGCCTATGACCTCACTCGCCAGACCTGAAGTGGTATGTGAAGTCAGGCCAGACCTGTAGTGGGGGGTAAACACCCCGCCAGCAGGCAGACCAGACCAGTAGTGGGGGTAAACACCCCGCCAGCAGGCAGACCAGACCAGTAGTGGGGGTAAACACCCCGCCAGCAGGCAGACCAGACCTGTAGTGGGGGTAAACACCCCGCCAGCAGGCAGGCCAGACCTGTAGTGGGGGTAAACACCCCGCCAGCAGGCAGGCCAGACCTGTAGTGGGGGTAAACATCCCGCCAGCAGGCAGGCCAGACCTGTAGTGGGGGGTAAACACCCCGCCAGCAGGCAGACCAAACCTGTTTCAGGGCAAACACTTCCCCCTCCCCTGAGGCAGTAGGCCAGACCTTAAGTGAGGATAAACTCTCATCTCATGAGGCAGGCCAAACCTGTAGGGGGATAACCTGCCCCCAGCATGCAGGTCGGGAGACACGCTGCTGCAGTATCGAAGCCGGGCCCGCCTGGGCGCCGCATTCACTCTATGGAAACGTAAAGGGAAATATTTTCCCCTTAGTGGCTTTTACCAGAGGAAACATAGTGAGGGTTGGCACACGGAGGGGTCGAGGGGTCAGGTGGAGACGTGTGGGGGAAGGGAGATATGTTGGGGGATGGCCATGTGAGGGGGAACGTATGAGGGATTGTGAGGTGTTATTTACCAACGACGATATTCGTATGCTAACTCATCAGCTGACACACTCTCACTCATTTACTCACAAGTGACTCGCTTTTAAAGACTCACCTGCCAGCATGTCTGGGGACTCACCTTTCAACTCCTCTGAACAGTCACCCGGAGGCTCATTTGGAGGCTCACCTGAGATCACTGGAGTAGGTGTAGGTGCTCCAGGTGAGCAGCTTCAGCACCTCCTCCTCCTCCTCCACCTGCAGGAGCCACGACACCTTCAAGAGAGACTGCTCGGGTTAGGCCTCGGTCAAAGCTACGGCTGTAAGCTGGTCAAAGTTAGGGGTAAGGCCAAAGTTAGGTCAAAGTCAGGTTTAAGTTAAGATGAAAGTTCGGTTTAAATTAAAGTCAAAGTTTGGTTTAAGTTAAGGTCAAAGTTAGGTTTAAGTTAAGGTCAAAGTTTGGTTTAAGTTAAGATCAGAGTTAAGTTTAAGATTAAGATGACAAGTAGAAGATCTAAGTTCGGGAAACTTACATATTTTCACAAACTTTTCTTAATAATCACGTCATCATATACTGATCATTAATCACTGTATCATCACCAATCATTATATCATCATCAGTCACTAATTCGTCATCATCAAAAATTGTATCATCAGTCATTATATTCATCATAAATCATTATCTCATCATTATTTCATCATTGTTATCTCCTCAACACCCTTAGCGAGACCATTATCATTGATTATCGCAAAAAACGTACAATCCCTTCAGCTCATAATCTCTTGAGCATACAATACCTTGAACGCACAATCCTTTGAACAAACAAGGCATCTAACAATTTTCTGAGCAGTCATTCTCTTGGCTACACAATACCCTGAGAAAACAATCCATTGACGACACAATTTCACAAGCACATACTTCCTTGAGCCCACAATCACGAGCCCACAATCCCTTGAGCCCACAATCCCTTGAGCCCACAATCACTTGAGCCCACAATACCTTGAGCCCACAATCCCTTGAGCCCACAATCACGAGCCCACAACCCCTTGAGCCCACAATCCCTTGAGCCCACAATCACGAGCCCACAACCCCTTGAGCCCACAATCACGAGCCCACAACCCCTTGAGCCCACAATCCCTTGAGCCCACAATCACGAGCAGACAATCCTTTCGCTGCACAATATCTTGAGTTCATATAATTCCTTACGCACACATCCCTTTGAGCGTACAATTCCTTAGACGCACAATCCCTCAAGCACACAATCACATGTACAATCACTTTATGAATATTACAACAATTTAGAAAAATGAGGTCAAGGAGATCCTTACAGGTTCGTCAGCTAGGTCAGATATGACGCAGTCTAAGGTGGCCGTTTCTCCGAGGTGAGTCGTGAAAGAGGCGCTGTTGGCCGCTAGGTGAGGCTTCCTTGGTTCATCTTCCTTGTGTGTGTGCACCTTCTCTTCCTTCTTCTCCTCCTCCTCCTCCTCCTCCTTCTCTTCCAGAGCCGTCGTGGAGGCGTCTCTCTGGTCGAGAGAGTTATCGAAGTCTCTCTGCAGTTCGCGGGCTTCCTGGTCGTGTTGGTTGTCGGCTGGGTCACTCTGGCAGCGGTGGTCGAACTGGTCTTTATTCTGGTCGTTTTGGCCGGTTGTGTCGTAGATTGTTGGCGATGTAGATGGCGGTGATGGAGGAGATGCTGGCGACGATGATGGAGACGACGAGGGTACCTGGACAACAGCTGGAAATGAAAACACAGGATTAAGAAACAAGTCAGTTACGAGAATCAAAGTAAAAGGGGGGAGGTAGAGGAGAAGGAGAAGGAGGGGAAAGCTAAGCATAAGAGGTGGCAGTAGGTGAAGGGAGAAGAACAGAAGAGCAGAAGGAAGAAGAAGAAGAAGAGCATTTAGGGTTCATGTAGGGAGAGTGGACACACTTCTCACAGCTGGGAGGGAGGACAAGTCGTCCTCGGGGCAGCTCTCATTTCTTGCGCTCGTGTTATCGTACAGAGCAGAGCCATATTGGCTCATGCCATGTTGGCTCATGCCATGTTGGCTCATGCCATGTTGGCTCATGCCATGTTGGCTCATGCCATGTTGGCTCATGCCATGTTGGCTCATGCCATGTTGGCTCATGCCATGTTGTGTCATGCCATGTTGGCTCATGCCATGTTGGCTCATGCCATGTTGGCTCATGCCATGTTGGCTCATGCCATGTTGGCTCATGCCATGTTGGCTCATGCCATGTTGTGTCATGCAACATGTTCCCACGTGTCAAATGACACCATTCAGGGTACGAATTACAGCGGTGACACCCTCCAGGCGGCCGCCTGAAGCCTCATATTTACCTGGCAATAACTATCTTACCAGCGACCTCCGACCCACCCGCTTGTTGTGGGTAGCATCCTGTGCAAGGTATTAAGGTATCGGGTACCTTACACCTGATGATTCTGTCCACCTATCACTACTAGCATCATTTGGTTTAGAAACCTGTACATCCTTTCTCAATTACTGTGGGTTTCTTTACATGTATTAAAAACGTGAACTGGCTTCGAAACTGCACAATCATTAAGGGTTATTTCAGGTCCAAACAACCTCTATAGTGATTAGCAGCTCATCAACTGCCTAATAAATGTAAACAAAGCCGCCATGATTGAGGAAAGATGTACAGGTTTCGTAAGTGGTTAGCGGAATTAAGGGATGAATGGTGGCCGTAGCATTAATGACCTTCCGAGAGGTGATGACAGGTGACGTTGTGCAGGTGACACAGGCGGGTGACGCAGGCGGGTGACGCAGGCAGGTGACACAGGCGGGTGACGCAGGCAGGTGACACAGGCAGGTGACACAGGCGGGTGACACAGGCGGGTGACGCAGGCAGGTGACACAGGCGGGTGACGCAGGCAGGTGACACAGGCAGGTGACACAGGCGGGTGACACAGGCGGGTGACGTAGGCAGGTGACAAAGGCAGGTGACACAGGCAGGTGACACAGGCAGCTTCACTAGTTGTGGTGGTGATGGATGACCTGTGGTGGTGATGGATGACCTGTGGTGGTGATGGATGACCTGTGGTGCTGATGGATGACCTGTGGTGCTGATGGATGACCTGTGGTGCTGATGGATGACCTGTGGTGCTGATGGATGACCTGTGGTGCTGATGGATGACCTGTGGTGGTGATGGATGACCTGTGGTGCTGATGGATGACCTGTGGTGCTGATGGATGACCTGTGGTGCTGATGGATGACCTGTGGTGCTGATGGATGACCTGTGGTGCTGATGGATGAGCTGTGCCTCGAGAAACATTACCATACCATTATTGAAAATAAACAAGTTGAAATTCTCAACGTCGGGGGTAAAATACTGAAAAGTAACTGGTCCACCAGAAACAGAAACCAAATAATAGAGTCCCCCCGGGGATGACGTCGCCGCCCCCATGCAGTACCCCCCACGCAGTACCCCCCATGCAGTACCCCCCATGCAGTACCCCACATGCAGTACCCCACATGCAGTACCCCCCATGCAGTACCCCCCATGCAGTACCCTCCATGCAGTACCCCCCATGCAGTACCCCCCATGCAGTACCCCCCATGCAGTACCCCCCATGCAGTACCCCCCATGCAGTACCCCCCATGCAGTACCCCCCATGCAGTACCCCCATGCAGTACCCCACATGCAGTACCCCCCATGCAGTACCCCACATGCAGTACCCCCCATGCAGTACCCCCCATGCAGTACACCCCCCACCCAACACCCACCCCATTCAACACCCCCCCCCCCCCCGAACACCCACCTGACGAACTGCGACCATCCCGCTATAATGGGGAGGGGTCGGCCCACCTATTTCATAAGGCCCACAGGTACTTCCGCCCGTCGACTGAGCTTATTTGCAAAATTAATGAGTTATTCTGAGTCATTTTAGAGCATTTATCGAGGCAAATGAGGTCCGGGAGGGTAATAATCTTGTCAGTTATTGATGGGTGTTGTTAATGGGTGTTGTGTTGCTCATGGTGTGACTGTAAGGTGGAGTGGGGGAGGGGGTAGGGGGTGTATGGAGTGGGTGGAGTGGGGAAGGGGGTGTATGGAGTGGGTGGAGTGGGGAAGGGGGTGTATGGAGTGGGTGGAGTGGGGAAGGGGGTGTATGGAGTGGGTGGAGTGGGGAAGGGGGTGTATGGAGTGGGTGGAGTGGGGAAGGGGGTGTATGGAGTGGGTGGAGTGGGGAAGGGGGTGTATGGAGTGGGTGGAGTGGGTGACTGAAGTTAATTCAGCCGTACAGTGGAGAGAAGAGCAGACCTACCTGAAGCAGTAGTGACCGGCGCCTCCAGCAGCAGACCCGCCAGCAGGAGCAGGAACAGCAGACGTCTCTCCATTCTCTCTCTCTCTCTCTCTCTCTCTCTCTCTCTCTCTCTCTCTCTCTCTCTCTCTCTCTCTCTCTCTCTCTCTGTGGGAAGCAGAGGAGTGAAATTATTATTATTGTCAGTCCTTATGATGATATTCTCGCTGGTATAGTTGGAGAATTTAGATTTCCTTTGTGTTAACCTAACCTAGCCTAGCAAGCCTAACCTAACCTAGCCTAGCCTGGTCGACGACCGGGCCGCGGGGACACTAAGCCCCGGAAGCACCTCAAGGTAGGTAGGTAGCCTAACCAGAAGCGTACGCACCCAAGCAACCCACCTAACCGGACACTTGTCGATGCATAGAAGACGTGGATTTTTGGTGAGTAGCTTCTGTTCATAGTATGCTGTAATACGGACGTTGGGGGCCAGGCCTTCGTTCTCTTAGCTCTTAGCTCTTACTTACTTAAAAGTCCTCTCCGTCCCCCACGAGTCCTCTCACTCTCTCATGTATCTTTCCTATTTTACCTCATTTAGGTGAGTGATGTGCGTGTGTGTGTGTGTGTGTGTGTGTGTGTGTGTGTGTGTGTGTGTGTGTGTGTGTGTGTGTGTGTGTGTGTGTGTGTGTGTGTGTGTGTATTCACCTTGATGTGCTCACCTAAAGTGGCTTAATGGGTCGAGCTTCCGCTCCAGTTCAGACTTCCGTCTCCTAAGTTGAAGTCTGTGTTAGATATTGTGAGATGCGTCTGTGTACGCGTGAAGACTTCTGTGTGTGCGTGAAGACTTAGGAAAGACTTTGATCCGTAAATTTACGCTCTTGTTGGTAAATTTAGAGAGCCATGGTGAGGGGGGGGGGCACTACGACACCAATTAAGACTTAATGGCCTGGGCCAGGACTCATCTAGGATTTACGCGTCCATTTGCGAAACCTGTGCATCTTTTATTTCATTAAACAGTGCATGAGCTCCAAAGGGCTACGAGGGCTGTGAAGTATCCAAGCTCGAAAACGGTTTAATAAATACAGACTGAACCGCCATGATTAAAGAAAGATGCATAGATTTCGTAAATGGAGACGTAAATTGCTCGATAATATATATATATAGATTCTGGCCCCTAGTAGGCGGAATGGCCAGCGCCGCGTCGTAAGATATATCACAACAATCTCTCGTCTTAGATTGCACCATAAAAATCTTCTCCCGTCCGAGCTGTCTCCGCGTCTCGATCCGGATTTTACGCGCGTCTCGATCCGGATTTTACGTGCGTTTTTATGGAGCTTTTCCTGGCGTATATTTTAATTCGCCGAGGCTCGGTGGTACAGCTGTATTGCTGTACTGAAAAAGTTAACTTTTTCTTTGTATGTGTACTCGTTTATTTATTCCTATAGGATCGAGCTTTAGCTCTTGGACTGCGCCTTTGTAGTCGTCGGTTGTCAAATTCAATGATTCCTGACTTGGGAGTATCAAGTAAGTGGGGTTCGATTCCCCCCACCCCCTCAAGGTCTCGTGGTGATTTCTCATTAAAACACTGTCATTTATGTCACTTATGAAACACCAATACACAGACAGGCAGCTGTCTGTCTGTGTCAAGCAGCATCAACACAGGTAACTGTCACTCAAGTAATAACACCAACACGCACTCAAACCTCAGCATCGTACGAGTGACTGACAGACGAACTTGAGTGTGTCAGACGGTCTCCAATATGAGACCGTACACCATAAGCAGCGTACACTATACAACTGCCACACAGACAGTGGGTATCAGCTAAGAGGTACACTCATACTCCGAGTTACCACTCTCCAAAGTGAAAGACTGAGTGCACTTCTTGAATACAATAGATCACTGGGCGTCACTCAACGGGCACTTATATAATTTCAAGTTTCAATACAAGAGCTTCACTATATCTGAAGTGTGTGTGTTTGAGAGAGAGAGAGAGAGAGAGAGAGAGAGAGAGAGAGAGAGAGAGAGAGAGAGAGAGAGAGAGAGAGAGAGAGAGAGAGAGAGAGTACCACACCGTCCTCAGCCGACGACCGCTCACGGCACACTGCGTCTCTCTCTCTCTCTCTCTCTCTCTCTCTTTCTCTCACTATCTCTCTCAGTACCTCACTTCGTATTCAAGAATGTATTAAGTTCGAGCGATAATATTACTAGTATTTCTAGTATTAATAATAATATTATTATTACAATCAGTAAGTACGACTAACGTGGGCGTAAGTCCGACTAACGTGGGCGTAAGTACGACTAACGTGGGCGTAAGTGCGACTTACGTGGGCGTAAGTGCGACTAACGTGGGCTTAAGTGCGACTAACGTGGGCGTAAGTGCGACTAACGTGGGCGTAAGTACGACTAACGTGGGCGTAAGTGCGACTAACGTGGGCGTAAGTGCGACTAACGTGGGCGTAAGTACGACTAACGTGGGCGTAAGTCAGACTAACGTGGGCGTAAGTCCGACTAACGTGGGCGTAAGTCAGACTAACGTGGGCGTAAATCCGACTAACGTGGGCGTAAGTGCGACTAACGTGGGCGTAAGTGCGACTAACGTGGGCGTAAGTGTGACTAACGTGGGCGTAAGTACGACTAACGTGGGCGTAAGTCAGACTAACGTGGGCGTAAGTCAGACTAACGTGGGCGTAAGTCAGACTAACGTGGGCGTAAGTCAGACTAACGTGGGCGTAAGCTAGAAGGCAACCCACA